GACAACGTGGCCACCACCAGCTGTCCAAGCCCTGGGCTCGTGCTCTGCTGGGGACCGCGTGGCAGCAGGGCACTGCTTTGAAGGTAGCTGGCTCCTTCTCAACCTTTAGCCACTACATACAATGAGCACTACTTATATTATATTGTTATAATAATATATATTATAATATTCTTTACTTATAAAGGGCAAGCAAAGCCTCCTGCCTCTCACAAATTTCAAGCACGACTGACTCGGAAGTGTCTCCAGCCAAGACACCTTTTGCACCAAGACAAGCAGGAACGTACACACTGCCGACGAGATGTATCAGGTAGGCACCTCCTGCCCTATGATCCAGTCCCTCCAGGGCATTAGTGTGTCCAGCACCATCACTCTTTCTGCTCCTTCTCATATACGCTGGCCTTCACACTGGCTTCATGTTGAGAACGGTCTTCCCAACTCACCACTTGGCACAACCTCCCATATTCCAGTTTCTTGGCATCTGTCTGCYGGTCAGGCAATAGCTGGTGACTTTTTATATCAACCAACACCCTGTCTTCTCAGCTAGCAGATGAGAAAGCAGACTGGATTTATTTTAGAGACCCCAGCAAGGCATAACACAGAGCAGAACGTCTGCTAAATGCCATGATGTTAGCAAGGGCACTCTTGCTCCCAACATCTGCACAGGGCCCCACAGTGCTGGACCCCAGGCATATCCCAGAAGGAATCCYATCTGTTCCTGTTACCCAACCCTTTGCTGCAAGCACAGTGCTGCACTCCAGAAGTGGTGTCTGAGCAGCCCTGTGGGCCTGTGGGGCTTGACAGAGCCCATGCACCATGTTTCATAGCTGTTTCTGAGAGGTGGCAACCCTTGTGTCCTACCATGCCAGAGGAAGAAARGCTCTTCTGCCTTATCTCTCAAAGATCTAACTTCTCCCTAAGAAGACAGACTTTCCTCCAAACACAGTCACCCATGGTTGCCCCAACAGGACAGGCGCCCTMCCAGGCTCCTTGTGGGACAAGAAGACAAGATCCAGACAAGCTGCTGACTGTCTTGTGGGCAGTTTTTCATAGCAGGAGATGTAACCTCTGGCTCTAGCTGCGTGTCAGAAATCCCTCCACACGGTGGGACAAGGAGCTTCTGCAAGCAGTGTGCAAACCCAGCACACGAGTGTCCCCAAGGGCTGCGCTCACTGCTGAGCAACCAAAGGGCAGAGCCTTGAACATGAGAGCAAGGGAAGAGATCCAGGACAGATCCAGAGCTTTCAGAGTCCCTCCTGGCACCTGTGCCATGGAACAGGCCACCGTCTGCCCTCCTGCGGCACACTGGCTGCTAATAGAGGGCTGGAAAGCCAAACCTAGATGAGGCAACACAGCGTGACYGGCTTTGCTGGGAAAACATGACTATGTGGAGCCTTTCTGGATAGGCAGCATGTTCCTGTGGGCAGCAAACTCTTTTCACCCAGTTGACTGGCAAAGCCCAGCACTGAGGATCCTCTTAAAAAATAACTTCAGTGAAGGAATGAAAAAGGCAATTTGAAACATTTCTGTGATATTCAGCCAAGATCACAGCATGGCCTGCCCCTGGGAAGGGGAACAGGTCCAGAGCTCCAAAACGGTGGGACACACTGGGACAGTCAGGTCTTGCAGGAACTCCAAACTTTTGAAACCTTTCAGGGACAGCACCCAGCAGCTCCTGGCTCTGGGTATCTGGGGAGAAGGCACTGCTGTGGTCAGAAAACTTGCACTGCTCTCAGAGCTCAGGATGCAGCCATCTCTCATCCAAAACGACCAGTGGAAGTTCCATGTCATGGAGTCTGTGTCCTGCTCCCCTGTGGCAAGCAGGGCTGGCACAGGGCAGCTGATGTGTGACCACATGGAAGGGAGGGAGGGAGGGAGGGTGGATGGATGGATGGATGGATAGATGGATGGATGAGTGGATGGATGGATGGATGCATGGATGCATGGATGCATGGGTGGGTAGGTGGATGGATGATGGCCACTGCCCCAGATGTCTGCGGGACCAGCTGCAGCCTCCGCCCAGCCCTGTCACACAACAGGGCACCCGAGGAAAGGCTGGTGTCTTCTGCCTTGGAAATCTTTCACCAGCTCTCAGAAATCTGTAGGACCTGTCTAGTTGCTCTCYATCAAGTGACAATTTGGGTAGGTGTCTTGCAGGAGTATGCATCTTGGGCACACCATCTACTGCATCACACCAGGGGGATGTTACCTCGGTGTATCCATACCCTGCCTGCTCTCTGTGGTTGGGATATGGCTGGAGGACGTCTTAGAAGGCATACAGGTTTCTCAGAAGGTCTTTGAATATGAAAAAGTCCTCACATTTCTTATGAGAGGTTTCACTGGCTAATTGCTTTGAACCAAAAATCTCTTCTATTCCTTAACTTGCTTTCATGTGCTACATAAAAGAACACGGTTCTGGGAGCTTCTTCCTTCCTCATAYAACACAGGCAACTCTCTTCTAAACCTTCCCTAGAATAAATACATTGGTTGTGCTTTATCAGCCTCCCGTGAAGAGGCAGGTTTGCTAATTGTGTAAAGAGTCAAATAGTGGAATATCTTTCTTTTTGGCATGTGCATACAAGACCTGGCTGGAATGGCCTGGTAAAGGCTTCCCTGACCATGTCTGACTGGCTGAACACTCTAAAATGAATAATCCTCCAACAAATTAGAAGGACTGTCATTATGGTTCGTATATGTGGAAAAAAATGTGTTTGGGCTTACACTGTCTTCTAGTTTCTAAACATGCAGGGCATATTTAGAGTGCAGTTTGACCCGTTCCTCAAAACTACATTGAGTCACGGTGCCCTCAGAAGAAGTCAGCACGCGTCCTGCTGTCTTCTTCCCCCACTTCTGGCTCAAGCATTTGTGCCATTTATGCTGGACCACACTGACAAACTGCCCCTGCAAACCCAAGTGTTTGTTTTCACACTGAATCCACAATTTCCATCCTCTTCACCAAACACTTGACACAACGTAAGGGAGGTCGGACTGTGCAGCAAAGCAAACAGAGCTTGGAGGATCTGCCTCTTTTGATGGCAAGAGCAGCTCAACTCACCAAGCCACAACCTGGGCTCAGAGTTTCCAATGCCCCTGCRCAGTGATGAAGGCTGGGATCTGGTTTTAGACTAGAAGCTGTGCTTCTTACCCTCCTCTCCAACTTCTATGCAAAGCAACAAACACCTTGACCTACAGGAAACAAACTATGAGCATYGGCAACACTGGTACTGTCACATACAGAGAGGTAATTCCCATCATCTCTTTTAGGTATTTCCCTACTCAGATGCCAAAGGAGTACACTGTTCTCCTGGCCACACCATCACAGCTCTCACATGCCTCTCCAGAATAGCTCCTAAAGATGGGAACTGCTTCAGGGTTCCTCTGGCGCCATGGCCAGGAGTATGGCTACCTATATATATACATATACGTTCAAATGAATCAAGTTTATTACTGTCCAGATTCCTCCATTATCATCTTCCTCTGTCATCTGCAATTATTTACTGAGGCTGATAGTTGCAGCGGCTGGAATGGGTAGATAGAGAAGCCATATTTTCATCCTGCCTTGTGCAAAGCCTTTTCTTAGGCACGACAGTGCGTGAAGCCCAGAGGATTTGGGTATTTGTTTTCGCTTACGAGACACATGGGGAATTTTGCTACTACTTTGAGATCCCATCAGACTCGGACAAGAATTTCTGTGTCAGTCTTCCTGCTTCACACTTGCAAATCCTCCAAATGAGCCTGAGGGCTAAAGAGTCAGGATTGAGTTATAAGAGCGACCTGCGTGTCTGCTCTGGTAACGCTKTTTGGAGAGCACAGCCCTTTCTATTCCATTCACTCAAGAAGAGAAAGACATAGACCCAACTTCTCCAACTCAGCAAGCGCTGTTCTAGGTCGGAGATGCTCAGGACACCCTAGGTGTGCCAGCTAACCTCTCTTGGCAAAGCGGCAGCTTTTAGGCATGTTACAAAATAATTACTTCCCTCCCTGCTGTGTAGGGGACCTTTCAGCCACGGTGCCTAAACTGACAAACACCAAGAGTGTGACAACACAACACAAAGAATTTAGGTGCGAGGGTTGCCCGAGCTAAAGGCATCTGGTGACTATTCCCATCCTTGGGCTGGAGCTGCCTTCACTGCTCTACAGAGCCACAGCACTGACCACGCTCAGGCCTGGAGGTCCCCAGGGAGACGCAGGCTCCATAGGCCAGGGTTTGGTTCTGGAGACAGGAGCTGGTTCCCTCCACCTCCACTGACGGGTGCTCTCCATTGCCCAGCAAGTTGCAGCCCCTACATCCACCTAAACCCCTAAGATCCACCTAAGTCCACCTAAGGGCAGCAGCGCTGGACTCCCCTCTCTGTGGGACGTGTCGGAGCAGGTAGGAGCTGAGAGCATCCCACAAGGCCTGTCTTCCTGGACCTGCTGGCAGAGACCCCTGAGGAAGGGTGAGCCCCCCTGCTCCCCTCAGCTCACGTGCCTTCCTCTTGGCTGAGCTCGTGACGATCCCTTGCTCACGCAGGTGGCAGGAGGTGAGGCAACCCTCAGGGAGAACACGGTGGCCAGGACTGGTGTTTCACCAGCAAAGAGAGAAGAGGGAGCTGCCTGGCGGACARGAGCCTTCCTCTCCAGCAGGCCTCACCCTCATCATCTCCGCTCCCGCTTCCAAAGCCCGGGTCGGCGCGTGCTATTGGCAACGGCTATTGCTAACGGAGAGAGGGGGATATGAGGAGAGGGAGGAAGGCTGGGCACGAGGTAGGGGCCCGAGTCACTGCTGGGGGCTGTGCGTTAGCAAGCGTCAGCCGGGGACAGGGGCTTCCCTTGAAGAAGGCTCCGTGGCTCGGAGGCGCTCAGGCCCGTGGGAGCTGGTGGCGACAGTGTGGGGTGAGAGTGAGTGAAGCGCTGAAGAACGGCTACTGCTATACACCGGGGGCTCCCGCGCGGAAGGCTGTGCTGCAGCATCTCAAGTGTAGCCTATATGCACAAGTTACCCAGTCTCTCGGGCTGGCAGAAGAAGATCATTATCTGGCAGCTGCCTTACTTTCCGAGGACGCCTGCTTTCCTTTGGTTGCTGGGCTTTGAGTCTGATTTTTGCCTCTTTGTCCCTTTTTGGCCACACCAGGCGAGGGCAGGGAGTCTCCTGTCGGCCCTAGGCCTTGTGCCTGGGGCTGAGGTCGGGGGGAAGGTGGGACTCGCTGAGTACCAGTCCCCGGCTTACGCTGTCGACAAGGGGAAGGGCTTTCCTTCCTAGGTGGTAACTGGCTCCTGGGGGTAGCACTGGGGTTTCTTGCAGGAAGGACAGGACTCCGAGGAGGTGCACAGCTAGGCCTCCGTGAGCCGCTTCGTGGAGGAAGAGCACTGGAATTCGGTGAAGAAGGAAGCCGGCTCTGTGTCTGGGTGGGTCGGGAGTCACTGGGGAGACTTCCAGCTGGCCTCTGTGCCTGAAGCCTGCAGGGAAAGAGAGGAGGATGAAGAAGAATTGTTGCACTGGGCTATGGGCTACCATAGCATTGGCATGCATGCTGCTGGACAATCACAAGGTGACTCCAGCAGTAGGAGAACAAGATCTCTGCTTTAGGCACAAGCCAGGTTGTCTGCCAGGCCTATAGCCAGGCCTATGATTATATCTATGATTATATCTCTGCTGGCAAATACATCAACCCAAACAGGCCATTTACCTCCTGTCTCTCAGAGGGCAGGATTTGTTGAACCTGTGGCAGGGCCGGAGCAGCACTTCTGCTCCTGGACTTGATGTCCAGCCACAAGAACAGATGGAAAGTCTGCACTGGGGTGCACGGGACAAGGCTGAATTCAGAAGACCCAGCTCTAACTACATTCCCATGCTTATCAAACAGTGAGATGGAAACCTTTGAAAAGAGCCAGACACAGGGACATGTGTGAAATTTAAACCATCTGAAGGTGGCCCACATCATTGTCCCAGGTCACCACCACTGCCCGTATGTATTTATATATCCTCCTCTCTTGAGCTTTTCACATACTGGTTGTCTTCTGAGGCAATGAGCTCTCTGGGACATCCACTACACACAGTGGGACAGTCAGCACAGGCATATCAGCTCTGTTGAGGCCTCCTGGAGCCATGTAGGCATGACTCAGAGAAGGCTAAGACCTATCTGTCATTCCTGGTTCTGCTCCCTGAAAGATCTCTCTCTCTCAGTCGCACAGAAGTAGACCCCAAAACAGACTGTGCTCTTCACTGAAAATCCAGGGGCCACTTAGGAACTCTGTAGCCCCTGCAGTAGCCAAGACAGGTCTCCCTACGGAGAACAAGGTCCTGCCAATCATGCCACAGAGCTAAAAGCTGAACTCAGGAAAGATCTAATATTAGCAGTACCAAACCATGAAAGGGTTTTAATTGAAGGATGGAAGAATCATGGAAGAGAAGAGGGCCCCAAAGCCAGAACAAGTAAACAGGGACTTGACTCTCTGGCTAGACTGATCTCAAGAAACTGTGTATTTCGCACACAGGTGAGCTGAAATGATAGCAGGAAACAGGACAGGTGAGAAAAGCCCTCACCATGATTCCCGAGCAAGTGCAGCATTTTTCAGTGCTCAGAATCTTGGCCTTACCTGTAGGCAGCAGCTGCATCTTGCAGGGAGCTACACAGCACTGGCATGGCGATGGCCATGGAGCCCTCAGACCTCATTGTCTCTAGCGGTGATTTCATCGGTGTGATGGGCCGAGGAATTCTGCTCTTTGTGCTTACGTGTTTCTCTGCTTTTCCCAGGAGGGTAGCCTTCTCCTTCCCTGCCTTTCTCGGGATGGAGTCATCAGAGTCATGGGTGTCCTCCTCAGAACCAGTGGCTGAAAGGGTTTCTGAGGCCCGCYGCCGTTCATCGCTGGAGGATGCTGAGGAGGAGGCCCCTGAGGCCAGCCTAAGGAGACGGTTTTGCCTCTTCTCCATCACTAGGCGAGCCAAATCAGGCTGCTTCGCCCTCTTATAAAGCCTGTCTTTGGCTGAGAGTGAAGTTGAAAGGTCTGAGCCAGTGTCCTCCTCAGAGAACAAAATGGGTATCCGACTCCTATACCTGGATCCCAGAGGTCTCCTGGGGCCCTGCTGTGGTGTGTCCAAGGGAATTTCTGCTTGCTTAAGGTGTTCTGTTGTGGCTTTAGCCTTCTCAAGCTCGTGTTCTCTGGGAATGGTCTTGCCAGGCTCTTCCAAATCTAGCGGGGGTGCCACTTTCTCAAAGAGCTCCAACTTGTCCTCAGCAGGCTTTGCTGTGCCTGCTGTCTCTGAGGAGATTTCAGCAGGATTAGCTGAAAGTGCACAGCTTTCTGTCTCTGCCCCTTCTAGGCCTGAATGTATGCTTCCGTTCTCTACCAGCACCAGGTTTTCCTCCATCTCTTCTTCAATAATGATCTCTTCAAATGGACCAGGAGGGCAGTAATCCTCATGCCTCATCAGTTGGCCACTGGAAGACATGACATTTAAGTGGGTCTTTTCAGCGATATGCACAAATGTGCGCTCAACTTTGGTGAAAGGGGAGGAAGTYGTAGCCACTGCCAAGGGAGGCTTTGGTTCAGATTTAAGGACAGAGGACAGGGTTCCTGGCTCGGATACATCTAACTGGCTACCCATAGGTTGTGGCCGCTCGCTCTGCGGTGTTAGAGCAGCAAGAGTCCCCAGATCAACTTCTGGAGCCAAGTCTGTGGTCACCGGAGACTTTTTCAGATCACCTGGTGAAAAGAGCACTAGTGTTTTTGAGCCTTCCTCCAGTTCYAGATCCCCATCAGCAGTGGAAGCTCGACCCTTGGAGCCCTTCTGGTCGTCAGCCAGGAGAGTGGATGGTGCACACTCCTGGCTGCGCTCTGTGCTTTTTTGACTCAAGTCACTGCTGGAGCCGCTGTGCATATCAATCTCGTCTCCTACTTCCTCCTCTTCCTCCTCTTCCTCCTCCTCCTCTTCCTCCTCCTCTTCTTCTTCCTCTTTCCCATTCATTTTGAGGTGAGGTTCAGGGGGTTTGCAAGGAGCGGTCAAGACAATATTTGAGAAGTCAACTTTCTTTATCCGCTGGGGTGCCTTAGGCTTTTCCCAATAGTCGGGCAAATCTTTTTTGAAGTCTTGATAAGGCAAACTTAAAGGCACCGCCTTGGGCAGACCATTCATTTCAAATGACTTCAGTGAATATGCCTGTAAAAAGAAAAATACGATAAAAGAGAACAGTTAGCAATCGGACTTTGCCAAGAACATATGAAACACCAGTAAGAAGCTCCAGTGGAAAACATCTAGTCTATCAATCATTCGATCAGTGCCAAACCCAGGTACCGACATTCACCCTTCTCAGCACAGAACCTGCCAGAGGAGTTTCTGGTTAGCAGTTCTTAACCCAGACCTAAAAGAGCCGTTTACAAACAAATCTTGGTGGGGTTTGAGGGTTTCCCAATCTTCTGTATCCCATATTCTCTCTTGCCTTACCGGAGCCATTCTGCCAAGCTTTGCTATGCCCAGGCTGCACTGAACTGCTCTGAAAGTTGAAGAGGCCTCTCCACAATAAATCTGCTTTCTAACCACTTTGCAATACTCTTTTGTTCTGAGAGAAATACTCTTCACATCTCTTTCATGCTCCATCTCCACATTACTCATTCCTCCCTTCTGCTTCCCCTTCCCTCTAGGAACTCCTCGTTCTGTTTTCTATGGGTTTTACTCCTTGTTCTTTCCCTGGTCCTCCGGTAAAGTGATCATTAGAGTAACTCATGCATGCTGACATTGAAAGTATCTCTATAGTCTCTAGCATGTCCAACCATGAGAGCAACGTAAGGACAGAGGAGCTCCTTGTCTGTCTGAACCGCTGATGGGAACATTTCTCCAACTGTGGTCCGTGGAGCAGACGCTGCCCACAGCACATCAGCAGGATCCTCTGACATAATTGCCAATAAGAGCAAGAGAAGAAACATCAATGAGTTCATCCATATGCACACACAGGACCAAACACGGGGCAAAATAAAGAGCAAACGACCATCCTAATGGGGTCTAAATGACAACTGCAGTGGAAGCACTTCACAGAATGAATTTTTAGAAAAACATTTAGGTCATCCTTCAGCTAAGGAGGGTGGGAAATGACAGCCTCTCCCTTAACTCACGCAGGTGATAGATAATGCATCACACGGCACCTTTGGAAGGTCCTAATAACAAACAGAAGAGCTTCAAGCACTGGCTTTTGAAGTGATGCTTTACAGACTCAGAAGATGTTTAGAATATGTATTAAAGTATTTCTGCAGTTCAAAGCTCTTCTTTCATTAAAGCAGGAGCCAGGTTTTGAGGATGTTGGTCTATGAGCCTGAGGTGAGCTTCCCCGACCCGCTCTGCTCTTTGCCTCAGCATGACAGCTCTGCAGTTGGGCCTCATAACATGGTCTTCCTGCTTTTAGGAAAAGAAATCACCCACTTGGCTTCCTTCCTCAGGCAGTTCTTGGAAGCAATACTTGGCATCGTGCTGATCTCCCCACTGAAATGACACCCCTTTGCCAACCACATTTCACTTGCTGCTCTACCTCACTCCCTTTCCTACATGATGTGGTTGGTGGTACAGCTGCAGGGCCTCTGTTTTCTACTTTCCAGGCTGCTCAAACTCATATATAATCCTTAAAAACGGCTCCCTCACTCTTAGCTTGCCTCATCCCAGCTGCTTTCTAGTGCTGCAGTGTACATCCTGTGTAGGACTGCAGCACCACTGCTGGCTGGAACCATCAGGCATCAGACCTAGGTGCCCATGATTCAGCCTTGGCATCTTGTCTGGTGGACTGTTGTAGCATCTTTATTTCACTTTTTCCTGATCAGCTCTTCTGCAACACATCAGATTTTTTTTTTTTTTCCTGAAAGGAAATAGAAGTTTKGGGTGTATATATGGCACTGTGCAATGAAGTTCTGACCCTGAGCTAGATAGCAGGCCACTGCTCTAATACAAATTAGAGTTTTCTCCTTCTGCTCCGGTTCCCCTTCGCTGCTGTTGAYTCCTGCTGCAGGTATCTAACTAACCCTTCATGTAACTCTGGCTGTACAAATTCCTTATGGGACTTAGCACTGGAACTGCCTTCTGTCTGTCCTACCATTTCCCCCGTGGATTTGCTTTTTCCTTTTCCAGGAACTGCATCCTAAGCACCATAGAGATGGCTTGGCTTATACCGATCTACAGAAGACTTGGAGTGTTTTGATGATGAAAATTTACCAAGGAGAGACTCAAAGTGCATAAATAGCCCCAAAAATGAAAAACGAAAGAAGTTATCCAAAATCCCAGCTAAGAGAAACTTTATTGAAAAGACACCTAGGTCAATTTTTTTTTTTTAACACGTATTTTCTTACCTTCACTGCTATCACCATCTGAAAGTGTTAACAAGAAAGAGAGTCCCAGAGCATCAAAGCCTCTTGAAAGTTTTTCTTTAATATCTAATTTCTATGTCTAAATTTCTCTTCCCAGCTTGTGTCCGTTGCAGTTCATCCTTTCAGCGTTCACCCCCGAGAAGAGTTTAGAATCAGCCTCTTACTTGGTAGTTCAAGGAAGAACTCCCTCTTACTTGGAAGTTCAAGATKCTATCCTGATCCTTCTCTTTTTAAAGCTGGACAAACCCAGCTGTCTCTACCTATGTCTTATCCTCCTGGCCTCTATTACCCCAAGGACCCTCTGCTAAGCTCACCTCAGTAGGTCAAGCTCTTGTGCCAAGGAGGGCACAGCCAGTGTGGCCCTCCAGTGTGTGCCAAGAGCGTCTCCAACCCTCATAACACCTGGTTTCCCTTCCCAGCCCTCTCTTAACTGACCACCTCCCTGGTTCTCATTTATCTTTTTAGCAGGTGCTCCCTGCACCGTGTTCCCATGTACCCAAGGACGAGCAGAGTCCACAGCAGACATCCCTTCCCAGAGCCAGAGAGCAAAGGGAGCCGAAAACCAGAACGAGAAACCAAACAAAATAACCCAGCCATCACCAAGGTGCTGCCTTTGATTCTTTAATAAGGTTTTGGTAGTATACAAGCTTTTTTTTTTTTTTTCTTCCTCCCGATTGTCTGGATTAACATACATGGATTTAAAAAAGGCACAAAATCCATTGCACAGCTTCTGTTTTGTTTGTTTTTGATGACATTGCCTGTTCATTGTGATTTCAAGTGTAGGATTTTACAGTACTCTGCAGCATTTACAGCGTGGTCTACATACAGGTAATCAGTGCATGCTTTTATACAGGAGACAGAGTTCCAATTCTCTCTCGGGATTTTTATATACACAATAATACAGTGGCTTTCTTCTGAAAAAAAAGCTTTTAACTGGTCTTGCATGCTCGGTGCGCCAGAAGAATTAGTGCAAGCATATAATACAGTGTTATTGCAGTACAAAAAGGGGGTTCACCTTAGGCTCTAGAGGGATTACATACAGGAAGAATAAAAAGACTCTGGGAAAACAAGCTTTGGACCCCRTTAGTCGTCTGTGTCCTTCCAAACCTGCCCTGCTCACCACGGCCTTTAAAGCTACAGCAGGCTGCTCCTCTCCATCTCCCTGCTGCCCTCCTCCTGAGATGAGCTGCTTCTGTCCTACCAGTTGATGAGGACGACTCAAGGAAGCCCTTCTGTTGCACCTCCTAATGCTGGAGCCCTGCACAGAGGGGACCTTCCTGAGAGCCACTGCTTCAAGCAAACTCAGGTGCCAGTGGATGATGCTTCTCAGACAAATTGCAAAGCAAAACCAGTTACCTACACTCGGGTCTCCTCTCAATAGGAATAACGCCCGTACACTTTCTGGTTGAAGAGTGGTGGTTCTATGTGATTTGGACTCTCCTGCTTGGCAGCAAGGGAAGGGCAACAGGTGACACAAGGTAACGCAAAGGAAGGATATGCTGGTCCCTGAGATTCTTCATGGGAGCTGGAGTCCAAGAAGCAGAAGTCAAGTTCCCCACATGACTTGAATCACTCTGTTAGGTTTGGGAAGAGGCCTTAGTCCTGAGAGATGCAGATGGCAAACAGACTGCAAGAGCTGTAGTCCAGTCTTCTCAATATCAGCTTCACTTTGGAGACTATCAGGACCTTATCATATCCTGGAAGTGACATTATCCTCTGCCAACACAGACTAAGCTTATTTGGGACTGGGAGACGTGGCAGGATTTACAGTAGTGACTGGAAAAACGAGAATCTGAGTTTCTGAAGCAGCCTTTTCCTTCAAACTATCATCAGATGAGGTAAAAGTAGCAGGGGTCTTAGAGCTGCCAGGCTTGCTTTCAGGATCTCCATGTTCCAGGAATCAGCACCATAAATGTCAGAGAGATGTTCTTCTTTCCAGCATCTTACCATCAAATGATCCAGAAGCTTTCTCTTGGTTTTTTTTTTTTTTTTTTTTTTTTTTTTGTTTTTTGTTTTTTGTTTTTTGTTTTGTTTTGTTTTGTTTTTCCTTGGTGAACATGACAGTCCAGTCCAATGCCGGATGAGTACTCTGTTCCTCCCTATTTGTGCTCTTCAGATGCTGTTAGGCTTGTGCCAGTTTTCCTAGCATCTTGGGTGGGTGCAATAGCGTGGTAAAGGTGCTACATCTGCAATTATCTTCCTAAATGTGCACCTACCAGTCTCTCCAGCAAGTGCCAGCACAGAGCTACTTGTCTGGGGAGGCCGGTGGAGCACCTCGTTTTTATCACTCAGAAAAGACGCAGAAARTGGCCAGCAACGTGGAAGGAAACGATAATCCAAAGGCTGTTCTAGCCCCTAATTGTGAAGGCAACTTCATAGCAGCAAGAAAGGAGAAACATTCCGAAAGCCAAACATCTTCCTTGGGCATAGAAATAACCCTAGAGCAGCGGTGCTGAACAAGAACCTGATCTGGCTTTTCTTGGGAAGGACCAAGCTAAAGGGGCAGGAGCCTCAAGGAAATCCTCCTCCTTGGACTCGCGATTTGCTGTCACTGTGTTTCATGTTGCCACATCAGCAGACTGCGCTCATAGTTAAACCGATGATGGGGTTGTTGGAGGAAGCCCTGGGGATTCGTGTGAGGCAAGTGAGGTAACCAACCTGAAGCACTTTGTGTATGAAAAAATAAAACCTCCAAACATAAAGCCATTTTTCTTCTGAAACGCTAGAAAACATGCAAGTGAATGTAAAATGGGGATTGCTTTCAATCCCCAGGTTACATGGTTAGCAGCTTGTTCAAAATGTACATTCATCGTA